CCCTTTATAGATCCGGCCCTGAGTTCCGGCACGCGCGCCGCCGCCGCGGGGCAGCCGGGACTGGGGAGCGGGAGAGGGAGGGGAAGGGAGGAGCCACTCCCGGCCCCGCCCCCGGCCCGTGCCACGTCCTCCTCTCCCCCGCCTCCCATTGGCTGACTTCAAGTATCGCGAGCCCCGTGGCCCCGGAGGCTTGGCAACCGCACGTGTTTCGCCCCGCCCTTTGCGGGGCTGCTGGAGCAAGTGCTGCGGTTGCGAAGGCGGGAACCGTCCCGCGCGAGGAGGTCCGGGGGGCGGCCGCGCCCCCTCCTCTCGCCCCCGCTTTCCTAACACATACGACCTCTCATCTCTCTCATCCTTCACCTTTTAAAAAAGATTTTAGGGGGCAGGGGAGCCAGCGAGAAATTGGTAAAGGGCCACAAAAAATTAGTACATTCAAAAAGAAAAAAATTTTTTAAAAATTATTACACTGTGTAATGATAAATATAAGAATAAAAAAACAATTTTTTTAAAAAAGATGACCGGTAAGGGGATCTTAACCCTTGGTGTTGTCAGCACCACACTCACCACTGAGCAACCAGCCATCCCTATACGGGATCCGAACCCGTGGCCTTGGTGTCATCAGCACCGCACTCTCCCGAGTGAGCCACGGGCCGGCCCCACCCCCCCAAAATCTTTTAAAAGCTTCTTGTTATAGTAGCCCGAATGTACCCTCATCTTTTACCTGCCTTGGGGGAGGGAGAGGCAGAAAAGAGGTCGTAGAAGAAGCTAAGGGACAAGGACTCCATGGCGGGGGGGTGACCAGGGAGAGAAGAACAGGGAGGGAGGAAGCCGCTGAGGAAAGTCTGAGCGGCAGCAAGAGGCCTGACCTCCCCTCAGGCCAGCGGGACTGGGACTGGGAGATGGACACAGCAACGGAGGACACGTACTTATGTGGGGGAGAGGCTGCCGTGTGGCAAGGCAGGAGGGGACAAAGAGGAAGTTGAGGCTCTCTGGCCACTTGAGTTTTGAGGAAGTGAAATCGGAAATTCCCTTTGTGGGGAAGAGGGGAAGTGTGGGGCAACAATGAAATCTTGTGGGAACTTAGGGGGAAATCAAAAAACCAAGTACTTCCCCTTTCTTCTCAGGGTCACCACCAGTTACTATTTGGTGTTTTACTCCAAACACTTCCCTTACCAGTTCCTGGCTGTTCCATTGGGCTCATTCCCCAGCCATTGTCCCCAGCCACACACAGACCCCCTTGGCTGTCGAGGCTGGTGAGAATCTTCAGTGGGTGATGTCAGAGCTTTGGGGACTGTGATTGTTATGTAAACAATACAGGGCACAAAAGTGTGGGAGGGGGTCTGAGGGCTCTTGGAGGCATCTAAAATGAACCGGGGAATGTGAAAGCCTCCTGTCCAACTTTCTGGCTTCTGGGAGATGTGGAAGCCCAGAGAGCTGGGTGCCTATATCCGGGAAGAAAGGCTAGCAGGTTGAAGGCAGAGGCAGGAACTCAAATCTGAGAACAAGCAGTGTATTAGGGGAGCTCAGTCAGGTGGGATCCAGAGAGGGCAAGATGGGGGTTTGGTCACCCACCCCTTGTAGGATCAGGCCTCTATATCTCCTGAGGGAACAAATCATGTTAATTTGATTGCCTTCCCCTCTGGATCTCTAACCATTGCAGAGCAGATGAGTAATTCCAGCCCTGCCTGCAATCTTAGGTCCCTGACTTGCTACTTTCATTTGGGATTTCATTAGCATTCTTTTCATCAGTCACAGGAAAGCACAGAAGCCAGACCTTTTTATTTTATTTTTTGGGTGTTCTCCTGAAAAGACGATACTGAGGTTCCTAGGCAGGGACTGTCACCAGACTTCATGCCAACTGGTGACCAGGAGTCTCCGGCGGGTGCAGTCCAGACTTCCTGGGTCAGCCTTAGAAGCCAAAGGGTTTGCCTCCTACACAGCACTCCGAGGGGTCCACCCAGGAGATGCAATTTCTGGGCTGCTCTCAGGAAGGGCCCCGGGCTGAGGATCCTGAATGAGGTGGTTGTTCCACGGTTTGAATGAGGCTGCATGAGTTTGGGGTGGGGGGGCCAGCAGTACTCACATTGACCAGCCATGGTTTCACATCTCCCCAGAGCCCTGTATGCTGGGAAAACCCAGCCCCGGACAATTGAAAACAACAAAATGTTCCTGGGTTATTTATGGTCACTGTTGTCATGTATGGTCACTTTACTTTCTCCAAGGAGCTTAAAGGACTGGAAGAAGGGATCTCACTCACCCTGGTGAGGCTCAAGTGGCTGGGAATTAGTTCCCCCCATTTCATGGAGTTGGCACCCAGGTCCTGGGCAGTTTCCTTACCCTGTAATACCGCAGTGAAAATGTCCTAATTTTCTTTGCTTTGTGTTTTTGAGTAGCGCAGTTTCTGTTTAGTGGAAAAGTTTTGTAAAACATGAGTGAACCATTTCACTTTTGGTTTCTCTGCTGTTCCACTTTCTGCCTGTCTGCCTGGGCCAGGGCAGAGGGCTCAAGTATCTTCCTTTTATCTCAGAAACCATGCCCATCCCCCACTCCCAGTGTTTTCTTCGTCAATTCACAAACACACCTGCAAACTGCTCTTGGGGTGCCTCTGGGTCTCCTTGAAGGCTGCTCTTGGCCAGCGAAAAGGGGTCTCCTGCTGCCTTGTTGCCCCGTCTTCCTTCAAAGTGGTCTTCTTGGTCCACTAGTGGCCTGGTCTAGAGAAGTATTTATAAGGTCCCTAAAGACAACTTTTTTTAAAAAAAAGGAGGGCGTTTTTCTCCAAATATGGCAGAAGAATCAGGCTGGGAAAAACCAAAAACATGTAGGTTTCTCCCTGGGATGAGGAGTAGTTCATTCTTTCCACTGAGAAAGTTTGCAAATAAGCACAGATTTTTTGTCCTTGCACTGTGAGATTTGGCCAACAGATCAGTTTTGCTGAAACAAGGTAAAGCACCAGCGCAGTCTATTCCTTTGCATGGGGGGTTTCCAGTGCTGGTCAGAAGGGCATCCTCCACAGCAGCAGCCGTGGCCCTTGGGCTAGGGAAAGTTGCTGGCACCAAAGGCTTCTGCAGGCATCTGGCAGTCGGACAAGGCCCAGCTTGGAGGTGAGTGTCAGGATCCTAGCTGCTTTCAAATCCCAATGGGAAAAAGCCTCAAGCCCTGAGATGTTAAGTGACTCACTCAAAGTAGCCCGGGCTGAACAGAAAGCTGGACCTCAGGAATCTTAACACTGCACTCTATCCACGCTCAAAGCATAGGAAGTTGCAAGGCAGGGCAGGTGGAAAAGCAGAGGAAGAGGTTTCAAGAGTCTCTTTCCCAAGTGTGGCCTGGAGCCAACTCTGTCCTGAAGCTCAACAGCCCTGTTAGTCCCTTTGCTGCTCTGCAGCCTGGAGGACAGGCTTGCACATTTACCGGGACGGTGTGTGCATGTAACCACATAGTGCTCTGCAGAGCTGAGACTTAGAGTCCTCTTGAGCGCTTTTGGTAAAAACTATAGTTCAGTTGCTGCGCTGGAGGAGGCCATTGTGGCGGGACTTCTAAATATATATCTCAGTCCCTGCGGCCTTTGGCCCTACCTTGCAGGGGCTGCCGAAGCAAGAGCTGCAGCTGAGCGCTGGGCGCAGTGTTCACCCTAAACTCATTGGACAGCTGGGGCACTGTCCTGGCCCCACCGGGCTGCAGGCTTTGCTGTGGACAGATGGCGTATAGGGGTTCCACGGGAAGTGATTTACTAACAGGCACATGAGCATTCTGCCTTTTATGATGATAACATCAGGAGTTCCTTGGCAGAATTTGGGGCCCCCCTTACCTTAAGTGGATGAAATGGTGGGTGCAACCCCAATGTCTGCAGCCTCAGCAGCCTGAGAGTACACATGATTCATACAGGTGTTGCTGCCTGACTGACATGGTCTTAGCTCCACGTAGAGAAGTGAGGGCCAAAGCCTGCCTCCCGTCCTCTCCAGGCATTTCTGGGGGCTCTGGGGGTGCCTTGTTGCACAGGAATGAGTCTGCCCACATTCTTCTGCTCCAGCTGCCTCTCCCTCGCCATCCTCTCTCCTCCCAGATCCCCTATGGCTGGGGGCTGCCCTGAGCCTCACTGTGGGCCTCCCAGGCTGAAGGCTGGAGAGTAATTCTGTCCCCAGCCGTGTGTCACACTCAGCCAGTAGGGCACAGAGCCCAGGCCATCTTCAATGAGCCCAGCTCCTTACACCCAAACCTCAGTAAGGTTCGGACATCATGCCCAAAGCTACCATTCAGTCCCCTCTGCCGACCTAACACTTCACTTCTCCTTCCCTCAAAATCAAGTGTCTGTGCAGGTCACTTGGGTGGTCTAAGGTGATCCATGCAGCTGCTCCCAGCCCACCTGCTCTGCCCATAGTCGGTCTCTTTCACCACCCTTTTGGCCCAGCTGGAACATTCCTCTGACCGGCATCTTTTTCATCCTGCTCCTAAGTACAGGTGCTGGTGACAGGTAATCTGCAAGGGGACTGGAAGCCAGAACCCTCCACCGAGAACCATGTCTGCCAAGCTCCATGCTTGCTCCCAGAAATACATGTTGGGGTGCCTTCTCAGAGCTGAGGTCAGGCCTCTATCTCCTGCTCAGCCAGCCTGGTCCTCTGCCCCCTGGTTCCATGACCCCCCCCAGAAACACCTCTCATGCCCTTTGGTCATTGTGGTAGGCAGAGTTTCAAGATGTTCCCAAGATCCCCCAGCCCTGGTATACGCACCCAGCATAACCTGGGACTGTGAATGTGATGAATTTGCTCCTGTGATAGGTTGTGTTAGATGAAACATG